GGAATAATGATATTACAAAAATGTCTTCCCCTCCCCTGTCGACAAACAGCACCGCACCTTCATAAGGACCCTTCAGTTAGCAACTGGCCAAAGTTACAAGTGATGTGGAGCCCATAGAGGCTCAAAAACAATCGGTTTCCATACAGTTCTTCTGTACAAGACAAATGCATGTTCGCAGTTGTTCTGAGACTGCATTATTTTGTCATCTACATGCTTGGGAATCAATGCTTACTCTTGATATTGTGAGTTTATTACATCAATACCAGTTTGGGCGACGTGCACTACAGTGTGCACTGTTGAACCTAGAGCACGAATCTCGAATCATGCTTTTCAACCGCCTTCAATACCTGGCCCACCTTCCATGTTTCGAAGTACGCCGATATTCCTCATATTCCTCCTCCTTAACGGCATTTGGCATTGTACAGCGCCTATCACACTCTCGAGACCATCCATCATTCGTTGGAAACGACAGCGACAGGATAGCGGATAAAAAAGTATGTTTGAATGGCAGTGAATATCTTTACATCTCTGTACTTCCGTGAATATGGTAGAGCAGTTTTCGTATCCAACCATCAGTCCATGCCAACCACAGACTCTAGTGGAGTTCCGGCAAAAAAAACAGCCTCAAGATGTACGCCAATGGGAAACCCTCAAGAGCTGAATACATGAAAGCTGCTCCACCATATTCACGGGAGTACACAGATGTGGAGACATTCAGTACCATCTTGATAATGTTACCAACCATGCTTTTCAACCGCTATCCTGTCGCCGTCGTTTCAAACGAATGATGGATGGTTTGCCTTGAGGGTAAGGTAAGGACTCGAAAATTTGGAGTTGGTGCGCGACGAACAGCCTTGCAGCGGTTTGACGACGAGAAATTGTAAGAGAGGGGGCTTCAGCGCAATGTGGGTGAAGTAACACCTCCTTTTCTTCAGTGAGTCCACCTTCACACTTCGCCTTCAAGGCCCGCACAAAGCATGACAATCGCCACTTGTACGGTTGTAGATCTCAATGCGAAATCAGCTGTGTGGATCAACTCTCGTGCACATTGATTGGACTACCACACCTATCTCCCAGCACCAATGCTCTCCATTCACCCATAAATTACTTGTTGGGCAGTATCCCACTGCTGCTACAACCCGTGCTATGAGTGTTGGTGCTTCTTCTGTGAGGGTGACCCCCAGTCCCTTGAAGTGGCTCCCTTTCTGGTTATTTTTTTGATTGTTATGACTTCGTGTTGCCCACCGATGGTATTCCTATTTTCTGCTATTTCAATTCAAGGAACCAGCATCCCGTTGTTGCCATGCTGAGAATTTAATGAGCTCCTATCTAACACCTTGAATGGTAGATCACCGGCTATCATCACCTCTCGCTTCCGACGATTATTGTTTCCATCCTGCTCTCCCCGCCCCCCCCCCCCCCCCCCCCCCCGCGCCCCTTTGCACCCACTTCACCACATCACTGAACAACATTGCACCAGATCTATGACGCGAGCTATGAATTTGGTGACCCTTCCCTTCTAAGGCATCTCATAATATCACGTTGGCCGTTATCACTTCCTACCACCCATCAAGAGTGTTCTTGTCCCACTTCCTGAATCACTTCAGTTCAAACTCTCCGCGACTAAATCGAAGGACTATTATGATTTTCCGGTGAAATGCACACTTACACAAGACACAAAGGACAAACTTGGACGAATTTAATATATGGTACGGAAACTGTGGGCATTCCAATATCTTTTTTTTTCGAATTCTAAGTTTATTTTTCCTCTTTGGAAAAAATTTTAGCGGAGTGACACTTTTTCGTAACTAAAAACAAACCGACGCTCCACATCCAAGAGCCAGAGCCCCAGCGCAGAAGGCACCAGCGAGACAGACTAGCGCAGCGACGCACATGCCGCGCGAAACAAGGCCGAAGGGAGCACTACGCCTTGCCTCCCCCCGCCAAAAGGCGTGCAAAATAGCATGGCTCCAGCTTTACAACAAGCTATTTCCTCGTCATGGTTACGTCATGGTCCCTCGTGAGAAGCCATGGGACGTCGAGTCATGCTTTATCAGGCCCTAAACTCTGTGTCATTTGAAATGAAGAAGTCAATGGATTATCATTTTATTCGGGCAACTGTTCAATAATTCATAGGCGACTGTGACGTCGGGTTGTCAATGGATGTGTTGAGAAGTGAAGAAAAGTCCCTCACATTTCTATCGATCTCCTCGGTTTGATCAGCGGCCTGCCTTCCTTCACCTTTCCACTTGCCACGTCAAGAGATTGCAATGCCAGCGATGCGTTCGATAATGAGCACGGGTGGCTCAAGGAGGAGGGAAAATAGGCTATATTGCATCTTGGTCTCGTATGGGCGTGGAAAACGATCTAGATGCATGCTTGAGGTAGTCTCAGAGCACATCTCAGTACCTCCTGAAATCGCTAATCTCTTTCAGAATACCTGCACAAAGCTCTTTGCACAAGTAAGAGCAGCCTGGTGCAGGTGAGCCTGCCCTGACAATAAGTACAACCACCTGTGCGGAAGTCCTCATGTTTAGCTGATTACCATACTGAATTATCAGGACTCTTATCGAAATGCATCTGAATGAAGTGAGTTGCATTTCCATTGACGCAATAACCCAGACCAGAAGGTTGGTTGCTGGTTGAACCCATTCCTTAGGCTCCCTGCACTGATCTGTTCAGATGGCCAGTGATAAAGAGGAGAAGAAATCGCCAAAAAGGTATGTCACTCTGGTTCAATCCATTGGGGTTCGCGTGCGATTATTTTGCGCTATACGCCACGCCGAGTCGTTCAACAAGAAGAGCAATGCTAGGCAACCAAGGTGGTTCGGTGCTGGTCACGAAGTTCGCTGTGTGACTGGACAAGGAAGGCGTGCGGCGCCGAGCGATAGGCACATGCAAAGCGTATCCTGAATCCTCCCGCAGAGGAAAGCAGGCCGGACATTGGCTGGACGGAACCCTCTCATCCGGTTTAGGAGTAGCGCACCTTTTTCAATTCACAGCCGCGTATTCCCATGGTCGCGCCGCGCTGAGGGTCTTTGCTGCATGCACGCAGAGGGTACCGATCGCACCCTACGTGCGCCATGGTACTAATAGCCCCTCCTCACCGACACGCTGTACAGTAGTTTCGCCACATGAGCTAATGATTAACTATGTCAGAGCCTCTGTGGAGAACCGCTCATCAACTTTTGGATGAATCGCGAAATGGTGTATCTTATCTGTGCGCTTAAATCGTTATCGTTCTTCAAAGTGGCTCAATGGCTGGTTCGAAGAAGTTAGCACGATAATCTGGTACTCTGTCTAGAACAGTATCTCATACCTACTGTAGCGCTTATTGGTGCGATTCCAACGGGGGTACTCGTCCGAGTTTGCTTTCTAAGTCATGTAGAACAGAGGCTTTGTCGCAAGTTTTCGACCGTTTCCCTTCCTTTCGCCATCTATTATCACTATTCTAATCGCACCCCCTTGCTAGTCGCCACTATTTTAGCACTACATCTATCCTTTCATCTCCATAAACCATAACTTTGGTGTGTCGGTTTTATGTTGTATGATAGTGTAGGTTTGTAGGTATGTATGTATGTTTGTGCTGTCCCGTACGCAAAAAGTACGTCAGGCGACAAACGACCGCTAGGCCCCAAAACCGCGTAAACCGATCTGGAGGATGTCAGCACGTGCTAATGACTTGATTGTGATAACAGTCTCCGCTAATATAAGACAACGCATCTCGGTGAAACTCCGAGGCCATTGCAGAGCTTGCTGCGTGCAGGCTGGACGTGTGCTCGTGCGGGGGCAGGGTGGGGGTACCGGGTCGCCCTGCCTCCCTCTCCTGCACGTGCTCAGCCGGAGCTGAGCACGTGTATGGGAGGGAGGCAGAGGGGAGGGGCCCGAAGGGGGTGCAGGGGAGGGGTGCGTAGCGCGCGCTTGAGTAGAAACGCGCAGCAAAGGAGGAGGGAACAACCGATAAGAAAACCCGCAGCTAATCATTGTTACCGTCTAGCCATTTGAAAAGTTGTATATGAGGACCGCCACACTCCGAGCCATTGCACGGGTTTCTCGTGTGGTAGTTGTAGTGAGCGCGCGCAAGGGGCAAGATGGGGAGGGGAGTGGCGAGTATGGAAAGGGATGAGGTGAGGAAGGTGGGAGTGGGTACCGAGTGACCTCTTCTCCTGTTCTCCTCCCTTGCGTGTGCTCAGTCGGATTTGAGCCCATACAGGGGAGGGAGGCAGAGGGATTGGATCGGCAGGAACTGGGTACAGTTAAGGGGATGTCGTAGCGGTACGCTTGGATAGGAGCAGGCGGCAAGATAAGGAAAGAACCGCTAGCAAAACTGCAAGCTAATCCATGTTACAGCAACGAACTAGGAAGCGGTTTGAATTGTGAATCGCTCCCCTATCTAAGCCAACCACTGTGATAGAGTCTGTCTATTGGCAGAGCTGCTGCTTGGGAGCTGACGTGAGCACGAGCAAAGTCGGTTGTACTGAACAGTGGCGGCGTAGTGTCCCTATGTTGCACCAGCTGCTCACGTGGCGGCTGCATACCACGTGCGGGAGTGGGCGCCAGTTAAGTTAGGGTCAGTGGGATATGATGTGGTGAGGGGGATACCAGATGAGAACGGCGATTTCGCGAATAGGAGCACATAGCGCCTGCGGCGGTAAGGGCGTCTACGGTTGCGATAAGATGGGAAGAAAATCGGATCGACCGCAATCGGAACTGAACCGATTAATGTTGCATTATCAAATTGTGGTAGCGTTTTGATAGTCATAACACCCTCCACAACATAACACAACCATTTAGTGCACTCAGAACCATTGCATTCGGGGCTATTCGCGTAGCAGCTGAGCGTGACCTGTAGGGTGGCTGAGCGGGGAATAGCTGAGGTTAGTTTGGGGATAGGTGAGGTGAAGGGTACCATATTGGCGCGACCGACGCTCGCCTGAACAGGAGCACGCAGCGACTGCGGAGACCGAAGCATCCTTTGCTGTCATAAGATGGGGAGGAGAGTAATCGATTATCCATGACCAGATTTTGAACTTTTCATTATGAAAGTGCCCTGCGATCATATGGTGCGTTTCTACATTCATTTGATTAGAAGACAGCTTAGTCACGACTCTAAAGCAGTTGCATGAGCCCGGCAAAGCCGGGCTTCCATGAAGGAGGAGAGCTCGGCGTTAGCCGGGCGATCCGACTGGTGTTCTTCATCTATCATACAGAACCGCGGAACTCTTCATCATCAATTCCTCCGTCATACTTTATTTCGGGCAATGACGATACGAGCGCAGGTCCGGACATTAGTGGGCGGGTGAGTGCGCTCGGGTAAGGTACTTTGCAGCTTCATAGGCGCAATAGAGGGCTACCTTCCTCGGTAAAACGCGGCAAACAGCGCCTGCCCCAGGGGCGCCAAATTCAGTACCTGCATCCCTGGAGGATTTATTGTGCCAAGTCATGGAGATTTATCGAGCTATACTGCCGTTCCATGAGCAAAGCGACAAGCAGATAAACCGAGAACGGGATTCAACAAAGCAGCGCCAGCTCCTAAAAAGGGACTAAATCTAGTCGCGAAGAGTAAAAGTGGCGAATACTCCTTGGCAAGAAACATTTAGCTCATCCCCCGTAAAGTCATATCAGCGCGTGAACTTCGACAACACCCTACGCTCACATCCGAGGACGTTCTTTGCCAGGTTCAGGGCGATTGACGCCGCAGCTGTAGTAGCGTGCTACTTTCTTTAATCAAAAGTGACGGCAACGGGGCTGGAGGGCAATGACGCCCGCATCCATCCAACATCCCCCTGCCGCACGGCAAGCCAGGTGCCTCGCAACAGCCAAACTCGCTACTTTTCTGCGCTCTCTTACTCCCAACCTTTAAGTACGTGTTTCGTTGCGGAACCTTGGAATCGCTGCAAGTTTGCACCTTGAAGATAGCGCGGGCGCTGTATGGTGACAGAACGCCGGTAACACTACCCTCCAGTCCTGCTCTCGTAGAACTTCAAACGAAAAGTGGCACGCTCCTGCAGTAGCGCACCCATTCTTTTTGCTCAGGGCAAGAGCATTCTGATAAATGTTTCCCCAGCAAGCTCTTGAAGCAACACAAATAACGCACCGAGATTGCAAGAGGAAAAAGGTTGGTGATTTTTGCGAAGGCAGTAATCCAACTTGTTTCAGCCAGAAAGGCTCACCAGCGAAGTCGGAGCGCAGCGGGCGATCGAAGTCAGAGCGTAGCGGGCGATCGAAGTCGGAACGCAGCAAGCGACCGAAGTCAGAGCGTAGCGGGCGATCGAAGTCGGAACGCAGCAAGCGACCGAAGTCAGAGCGTAGCGGGCGATCGAAGTCAGAACGCAGCAAGCGACCGAAGTCAGAGCGTAGCGGGCGATCGAAGTCAGAACGCAGCAAGCGACCGAAGTCAGAGCGAAGCGGGCGATCAAAGAAAAGCCGTCACTCGCCAAAGTCGAAATCGGAACGTTCGGGAAATCACGCCGAAGTCGTACGCCCAGAAAAAGTTCAAAAAGTTCACGAAGTCGACGACATTCGGAACCACGCGAACATCGCTGCTCTATGGAATGTGATGAGTGCCCGAAGAAAGTATCACGTAAAGCTCTGGTACGAGCTGCTGCAAGGGATCGACAACGCCGTGAAGCATACAGTGTTCTTCAAATGATCAACGCACACGGAATGACAGAGTGAGTTTGGAAGTTTAGCGCACTTCAGCTTGGAAGGGGGAGGGAGGGAGGAAAGGGGGCAATTTACGCTCTCCCCACTTTCCTGTGACGTGTTCATTGCTTTGAAAAAGCTGACAAGTGGTCCCCACAAACTTTTACTGGTATCACTTCGTGCTTCACAAGATTTCACAGGCCCTGACGTGATGGCTCGACACGTCGATGGGATGTAGCGGAAGTGCAAAATACCCTCCCAAGCCGAACAGCTTCGTAAATTCATTTCACTGACAGAAAACAGTGCGCTATTGCGATATCCGTATAATTGGAAGATGGGTTTAAATGGTAAATGATTATCCAGAAAAGCCTAACTGGGGTTGATACCCCACTATGCTGCCGAGTGGGCCTTGGGGCATGACGAATAATGGTCATTAAGCACCAGCCTTCTACACCCCAGTCGTCCCAAATATGGCCTGCACTGAGGGATAGTGGGTAATTGTTCAAGGATGGTCCTCTCTGTATCATACAAGGAATGAAGCGTAGTCATGGCGATTGATCCGACCTGCACTTTTCTACAATGGAGATGTGGGACCTAATATGGCTCCTTGGACCTAGTGACCCCATTAGCAGGGCTCTATTGAGTGCATTTCCCCCCTCACTGTGGACAAGATGGCCATTTTAGTTACGTACTTATTCATTTCCAAAAGAAGAGACTTCCCCAAGAGATCCACACCGATGCAATCCCCCCCTCACATATACCCTCTTCTTAATGTGCGAATTTCTCAAAATTCCATTGCCGTCGGTCGGGGAGCACGGTGGTGGAGAGGAGGTGGGGGAGGTGATTAGGGATAGTAGAACAGATAGTTCTGACAGCTGGTAGGAGTATTGAATGTCTTTGAATTATCAAAACTGATTTTTCCGCCCAGCTAAGGGGAGAGGAGGGGGGAAGAATCAACTATCGCAAAACTTGGGGCCATATACGCCTCCTGTCCAGCGATCAAGTAGGGCTTCGTGGAGGGTTCCGTGCAAGAATGATGTACCCTGTTTCTGCCATTGCCTCCCTGAGTAGCACGCCACTCCCATGTCGGAAAGAAGCGTACGAGGAGGAGTGAGAGGCTAGGACATGAGCTGCGATATATTCGTAGACGAGCCGGCAGCATGAGTCTTGCGATAGGTGAACTCTTGAGATAGCTTAACCGACAGTAGTGCCCCGATTTGGCATGAATGCTGCGGGCTGTTCTGTCGAACAGTGGGCCAAGGCTGTGTTCATACCTTGCGACGACGCCGACGATGTTGACGTAACCGACGTCTTCGAAGACTAGTCCGCAAAGTTATAATACGTCTATTGATCTCGACTGATAATCGGCGTAATCACGGATCAGCGACGTTAACCAATCGTCATGAAGTAAGGCAGCGTTCAGAGCTCGCGGAACGCGGCAGCGGCTTTGATCGTGCCGCTCTGATCGATCGATGCAGTAGAAGCATCGCCATTCAATCGAAGTCGAACGCACGGGTACAGGGATCGTTGTGCGAAATCCCATAACGGGCGTCGTAGATTGTTCCGCTGGGGAGGGGGGGGGAGGGTCTGTAATTCTCAAGTCACTCAGAGCCGAGCAATGGTTCGAAGACATGACTGTATCAAGGTTGATAGTGGGAGTGGAGCTATGGAAGTCAAGATGTTTAAAAAAAATGAAGTTTATTATGAGTGTATTCTTTACAGCTTTAAATGCTACGTTTAACAGCCCCTCTTTCCATGGGAAATCCCCAAGAATGGGTTCGTACTTGGCTGCGGGGGACGTGGGGAGTATTGAGCTACAAGTAGGCTCGCTAGGCATCACACCGTTACAAAGGTGTCATTGCTAAGGGTAATGAACGGACGGAAAGCTTCAGAAGACCCGGATGTAAATAGGAATACAAAATAATAAAAGATTTATTAGCAATATAGCAAGAATAAATAAATAAATAAGTGTCAGTTTATAGCATGAACTCGTAAGTACGTAGATGACTAAATAATACGTCTCAAACAGATTCGTGCGTGTTGTCCTTTACAAACCCTAAACAAACATCTGGTTTGCGATGGGATAAAAGCACTCGTGAAATTAGAATTTACACCTTTCCACTACCTCTGCGTAGGAGCCTAATGCACGGCGCACGGACCAAATCGATCAGAGATAGCCGAGCTTCTCTTTCACTCATTTGAAGGGAAATATGTGTTTTGAAGGCACACTGAAAGATTTCTGAAGAGTTTCTCACAAATGGGCAGCAAAAGGGAGTCGATTTTTCGGGTTGGTCGAGGGAGACGGACTGTGACCTTTGTGTGATGCAATCGAAATATCTCCTGAACTGCGAGTCTTCAAAAAAATGTAAAGCTTATATTAAACGAGAAAAAGATGGAGGGCGTTTCAGGAACGACTCTTAAGCCTGAATGAAATCGCGTTTGAGGCGAACAATGCTCGCGTGGAGCATGTAGAAACCATGCGCGGATTTGACCACTAGCGCCTATCCAAAACCCATCCGGAATATTTCACCAACGGGGATTGTTCAGTTTGCAACTAGGTAGAATACACAACAGTAGAAACTTTGCCGTTGCATGCTGCTCACCATTCCTCAAAAGCTCCGCACCTAAAAAAGATATAACCCCCCGAACAGACCCCAGGACGTTGGCAAGTCCAACAACCGCGCTCCAATGACGTTTTTCCAAAGAAAGCGGTCGCAGCCTTGCGCCCTGCAGCCTGATCGATAATAGCCAAGTATGGAACGATTTACCTGGTTATCCTTTTTTCATTTAGCTCTGCATTTTTTGTATTTTCCATGTTTCGCTTTGTTGTGTCGTGCATGTTTTCATTATTTCCCCGTCACCATTCATTGAATGCACATCTGGGCCCTGACACGCTCACCTTGGGGCTATTTTTTTCACCAATTCAGCCTATCAATGATCACCATCAGCCGCTATTTCAATTGTGTTTCTTGTTGCATGTCATACATAGTTATCGAACGAGGAGTTTTATTTTGAATCCTAAGACAAATTGTAGGTAATGGGCGAGGCTGTTTTTTTTATTGTTGTTCAGCCTCATATTGCATGAGGCTGAAACAGCCTTTTATTTCCTGTATTTTAGAGCAGAGTGCGCCTTTCGAGAATCCAGATTCCATTTCAGGAAGTCATTTGTGGTGAACATGCATCTGGTTGTCAGTTAGAGCAGGAGGGGGGGGTCGTATCTGGACCCTCTTCGAGGGGGGGGTCGTACCCAAACCGCCAATTGCACAGCAATCCGATGCTGTATCCTGGTCGAACGTACGACCGAAGCGTTGCCGTCGCGAAGTCTGAACGATGCTTAAGCGACGTTTTCGACGTCAGTCGATACGTATCTAATCTTCTGTCGCCGGCTACATCGATTACGTCGACACATCGGATCAACACTTATCTAGTCCTCAGTCAATTGCCGTTACGTCGGTACGTCGCTTACGCCGGTCACCGTCGGCATCCAGTTTCGGAATTGTTTGTCGCCGGTGACGTCGACAGTCGGCTGCCGTCGTCGCCAAGCTATGAACGACCCAGCTCAACGGATTACAGTTGCAAATGCAATGGTCGCTCTGTTTAAAAAAAGCAATAAGAACTTGATTCAGCTGAGAAGCGTATCGCGAACTTATCATTTGGCGGAGGCAAACCTACTACACGTTTCCCCGTGACGTTGTCCCGTTCTTTCTACGATGGTTGAGCACACAGAACACGGGACATAAAGCAGTGCAGGTAAAACCGAGCGACTGTTCTGGCTTGACACCTGGGACAATGAACCAACGTGGCTACTTAAGACCTAGCAAAGAAATGGGCACCAACTAGAACATTTCACATCTAAATGTAAGAGGATACAGTGCAGTAAATTGAGCTTGGCGTTACTGCGTCAAACATTCTCAGACTTACTCCTTCATTCTCACAGACCGATGATGTTGAAGTCAATGGAAAGGCAGAAAGCCTACGAAGCAATGCGAAGCCTTGCATTACACCTCGAAGTGAGTTAGCCTTATTGAAATTTTTCGAAGCCTAGGTGCCCCAACACTACTATTTATCAAGGGATGCTTGTTGCATACCTGCAACATTGTTTCGCACATAGCGTTGTATGCATTGTCTTGGTTGTGTAATCCATTGGAATATTCGCACAACGTGTCTTCAATACCAGAGGCGACCTTAATTTTTACATGACACAAATGACTATTGAGGTAAGCATGTATGATCGTCAAAATCTTTTCTCTATGTGGAATCTGCCAAATGACAAAGGTGAATGGACAAGGGGTTTGTGTTCCTTCTCGCCGAGGTGAAGGACAAGGTTGTGATCCCTTCTGCTACAAAATCACGTTCCAAAACTTGCAGCGTCGGAGAATCTTCAAGGCCTCAATTTGAGGAATACCGAATATTCTCACTCGCTGTCCATACATCCCCCTCGCCCCAGCCGTCTGGTAGGGGGTGTGCGTGAGCTTCACCGTCTATCATAGTGTCACTCATCGATGACGAGGTCCATGTGGCAGGGAGGGGGGGGGGTTAACGCGCCGGGTCACTGGGCACACTCACTGTTACAGGTTCTTGAACGGCGGGCAAGACCATGTAGAAAGCTTGAGGGTTCGGAAAGCCCATGTGGTACCCTATCTTCCCTCCTTCATACTGGATTAAGGACTTCATCTCGCAGCACTCGATAATGGATCATCCGAGCCGGACCATGAAACCTATTTTGCACCTCTGGCGCGTCTTACAGGTCTTGTTCGCCTGGAATAATGGGGCGTGTCGGAAAGGCTGAGTTTGGCGCGCTGCCAGCCTTCTCCACCAGTTATATAGCGCGAAAATGAAAACACTCGCGACAGATACGTATGGTGTGATACGGTTTTCCCTTTTACCAGAAAGAAGAGAAGAAGCGGGCTGGCGCTGCGCCGAACCCATAATCCCTGACAGTTCCCCATCATCCACAACGAAAAAGGCTGTACCTACAATGGTGCAAATATTACTGATCCGAATTCC